AGAGTAGATCGCGTAATTTTTACTAATTAGTTGGAACCTCTTGCATGCACTACGGTGCCTCACCGGACGCAAGGTACATCGACGGCAAAGATTCGAGGTCACCGGCGAGGGAGAGGACGTGGAGTACAGGCGACCTGGCGCAGGAGCCAAGGGGGCACGCACCGAGCACGTGGCGATCAGGCGACGGAGCGCGCACGAACGGAGAGCGTGACCGCGCGCAAGGATTTGCAAGAGCCGCCTGGGGCGCGGCAAGGACGGCAGGCGAAGGATCTGAAGCCCGCGAAGGGCGATACGACCGGCGATGTCCCCAGGGCCCGGGGTCATTGCCGAGAGTTGCCGAGACGACGTGGCCAAGTCGTCCCGGATTAAAGGGCGAAGGACGCGCCCATCAGATTCCACGCCGCCACATCCGGGAAATAGGGCGGTCTCGCGAGGACGCGAGGCGCCCGTAGGAAAATTTGCGATCTACGCCCGTGCCACAGCGAGACCAGGGATGCCAGGAAAACCTTTAACAGCCACTGGCTGCAAGTAGAAGGGGTAGGCTGCAGCCGCCAGCAGCCAACCACCTAAGCCATCGCGACTGCCAGCCTACTCCTTCCACTTGCAAACAGTGGCTGTTAAAGGTTTTCCTCAGGGGTTATAAACTCCTATTGTTCTCCGTTTACCAGTGTTTGCAGCGCCACCACATTCTTACAGGTCTAAAATGAGAACTAAATGTTCCGCCATGATTTAAATAAATAAATATGTAAAGGTCTGCAAGGTTAAAACTGCATAATAAAGTTATAAAAACAAATTGTTGATTGTTGTCAATAAGTATATAAGTGTAGTGCAAGCGTGTTGTGTACTTGGGTGTTCATCTACGAGCACCACACCTTAAAGTATTTATTTATTTATCAACATGGCGGAACATTTAGTTCTCATTTTAGCCCTGTAAGAATGTGATGGCGCTGCAAACACTGGTAAACGAAGAACAATAGGAGTTTGTAACCCCTGGTTTTCCTGTCATTCCTGGGCGAGACCCCCGCGGCGCGCCGTGATTGGTCGCGACTATGTGCGCCGCTATGTTGCGCACCCCCGGGCTGGGGGTGCAGACATCGATCGCGTATCGAACGCGATCTACGCCGCTTTTGCGTGCGAACCATGGTGGAAAGATTACATGGTGTGCTCAAAACTCCGAAACCACGCCCCTTTTTCGCGTCGAGGTACCGTTCAGTACCTAGGCCTGCCAACTGTGAAAAATTAAATGTTTGATGCTGCTAAGTTACCACGACTGATTTGAATGCGTCTTTGTCACACCTTACTATATGTGCATTGTGTGTTTTTTTCTCGGCAAAAATTCACAATAGGAGCACGTGGTTTCAAGTTATTAAACAGGTTAGGAGTAACGCGGGTCAATATAAGGA